ATTATATTATATTACATTATATTATATTATATTATATTATATTATATTATATTATATTATATTATATTATATTATATTATATTATATTATATTATTATTCAGGTGTTGTGTCCTTTCAGAGCACTTTATGCAGTTTTTTTCATCAGATGTGTTTTATACAAACATTTGTATATATAAAAAAGAATATATACACTAAATTCAACCAAAAAAACCCCACTCTTTTCAACCCAAAAGATGTTTTCTCCTTTGGGTAAGAGTCTCAGATTAAACTGATACACATATTTTAGACTAAAAGAAATTCAGGGTGCCACATACTTACAAAAAGCTTGTTTTAGTACTGCCGGAAACATGCAAACATCCTCAGAAACCTCCACCAACAGGTTGACTTAGACTTAGACTTAGACTTAGACTTAGACTTAGACAGTACTTTATTGATCCCTTGGGAAGACTCCCTTAAGAAATTAAGGTTACCAGCAGCTTACAGGGCAAAAAAGTGTTAAGTTAAGTTAAATTAAATTAAATTAAGCGAAAAAAATACAAAAAATACAGATTAAGTACAGTGTATATAATAGGAGTTGTGTGTATGTAACATAGGAGTTTGGCGGATATATTGACCAGTGATATGGTTTGCACTATGTGGTTTGTCCTGATAAATATGGAATTCACATTTGCCATCTGGTAGACCAGAAAAAGCTCTATATAAGTGCATGTACATTTACATTTACATGTACATTTACATCATCGTGGAATGGAAATAAAATTTGGGACAGGCAAAGAAAAACAGTGCATGAGCCCACAGGACCGGAACACAAACATCAAAGAAAGTGCTAGAATTTAGCTATAATTACCCACTTTAGCATTGTACGCTATCACATGATCTGTGTAAATTACTGATTGGTTTGTTTTCATTCCCCAGATTCTCTCTTCTCTATTTTTCTTTCTTTCTTTTTCAATCTCTGTTGCATTAGATCCACCTTTAGGTCAACACACACACACACCATTTGTTACCACATTCCTGTCATCTGCATGAATTAGGACCTGGCCTGTTCGTGCCCAGAACTAACTAGCCAATAGGACTTCACAAAGACGAATCACGACACAATTACAGTGAATTTATCATCAACTGCTTGTAAAATGTGGCTATTAAATCTAATAAAGTGTCAGAATTTGGCTATAATTACTTACTTTAGCATTGTATGCTAACACATGATCTATATAAATTACAGATTGTTTTCTTTTATAACTATATTTTGTGTTAAAGTCTCTGGCTGTGTCCACAGACTCTCTTTTTTTCTATTTTTCTGTTGCATTAGATCCACCTTTACGTCAACACAAACACACACACACCATTTGTTACCACATTCCTGTCATCTGCATGAATTAGGACCTGGCCTATTCATGCCCAGAGGTAACCGGCCAATAGGACTTGGTTGTGGAGATAATGTCCATCACACCCAGATCTCTGAAGGTTTTTCTCAGAGATTCTTCAGACTGAGGCGTTTCCTTCTCTTTTTTTAGGTCCACACTGTGTCTTAAACAAACTGACAATAGGGGGCGCCACCTTCTCTGTGATGGGAAAAAAACTCCACTGGATCTCATCTCTGTTTCACACGCCGCTCAGAAGTTGGAATTCTCATTTGAACTGAATTACTTAAAGAAACATTCAACCCACGACTGGTTTTCATGGTTATCCATTAAAGGATGACACACAAATGGAGAAATTGGCGATAAGATAGCAACTATGCTAGAATCTGGCTAATTTACAATCTGTACTGAAGTGTACGATTGTTTATTAATGAGCACTGTCCTGATTGAATAAATAAATAAATAAAATAAAATAAAATAAAACAAGATATTGAACATGTGAAAACAACAGAGTCAGATAAATCTGGAGAAAAATGGAGAAGTGAGCTAGAACCTGATCTTAGTTATTGTTCAAGGTTTGTCGACTAGTAATTTTCATTTTATTTTACTTCTGGTAGGGATTTTTTTTGCACACCATCAGAATGAGAGAAGGGATGAGTTTCATATTTCAGCCAATCATCTTCCTCCAACGTTGGGGGTTGTGGATAAGATCATTTCTTGATTGGTGAAACTCAAAGAAACAAAGAAATCTCATTTCTATGTACTCCAGTTTCTACAAGCATTTGATCAGTGTTTTTTAATCTAATCCTGATCTTCATGAGGTCATTCTGAAAACATTTTCAGTTCCAAATGTGTTCCTGTAAAGAAACCGAACTACTGAGTTCCTTCTGTGTTGATCCATTTTGACCAAATTTTTTTTAAAGTTCTCCTCATGTTTCCTATGTTAGGTCTGCTAAAACTATCAAAATGAACTATCAAATTAAAGTTTTACTCTACTAAATGCTATTCTTCTCTGCTTTTATGGTTTTAGTTTCATTTTTATTTTCATTACAACTACTTTTCTGAATTATTCAGAATTTTCTTGTCTTTAGATTAAATGTAAATAAGATTTTACTGATATCAAAGAGCCTGCATTTACACTCATTCCTTTGAGCTGGTAAAATCCAAGTAATTTATTTATGGTTTTCTCTTCTTGCGACTTTCCATCTTCTGGATTAAGTCCAAGAAAAGAGGGATTTTAGTTTTTAAGTTGTCCTTATGTTTCCCATGTTAGAGCTGCTAAAACTATCAAATTAAAGTTTTATTATACTTAAATGCTATTCTTCTCTGTTTTTCTGGTTTTATTTTTATTTTTATTACAACTACTTTTCTGAATTTTGTTGTTTTTAGATTAAATACAAATAAGATTTACTTATATCAAAAAGCCTGGTCTTCATTTATTAGCAAGCTAGAATTCGAATTTGCGAATCGAAAACTGTTGAACAAACCACTTTAAAATTGCAAATCTAAAAATACGCAACTTTATTGATTTTTTTTCCTGAATGACAACAGATCTACAGACATGGCTTGAGTCACACTTTATTTACAAAATGACTGAGAACCAAACAGCTGAGGGGGGGCAAGGAAGGAAGCATGGCGGTGAATTGTGATTCCTACTGATCCGCAGCTAGCAAGCTAGCTAGCTAGCTAGCTAGCTAGCTAGCGGTTCCTGGTTCTGCAGGTGTGATGGGGAACTGCCGGGTTGAACCTCAGCACGGCTTTCTTCGGGGCTTTGACCTGTGCCAGGGTTTGCGTTGCTTCGTGTGGTTTGTGCCCACGATGGTTGCAATCTGGTTCGGGAGCGGAGTCAGGCCGGGCCGGTTTACTTTCTGCGGCGGGCGGCGGCTCCTTTCTTGCTGCTAGAATTCGAAATTCACAGAAATTGTGCAAACAAGTCAGGGGTTTACGCTCAAATCTCTGTTCAGCATGCAGAAAATGACCATAGATGGCTAATTTCTACACCATTATTACCATCTCTTGAGATAACTAGCAGTAGAGCAACAGGAATTTGATTGAGTTTTGTACGAATATTATTACAACATTATTATTAAGAGGCATTTTCAAAAT